ACAGCATACAAAAATAGAGAGAGAAAATAATGTTCAGGTTAAACTTTCACAACAATAGTATTTTTTAAAAAAGGAAATTGATAAAATGTGATCTTCTGCCTTAAAAAATATTGAAAATATTTAAAGTATCAATTTAGATTAGGTTGAGTAAGAGTCAGTGCAAAGTTTAGAGAAGATTAAGTTAATTTTTTATTTTTAATGCAAAATAAGATATTGAAGGAAATTAAACTGCGTTTAACTTACCAAAATTCTTTAAAGTCCTACAAAATTGAAGTTGGATTAAATGTCATGCTTTAAATGTCATGCTTTCATTTTCCTTTCTTCATATAATTAAGATGTCAATCCTCCCACTCATTCTTAAGACTCAAATTGAATGGCTACCGAACTCCACCAAGCGGTCTCGCGCGCCTTATTTGAGGCAGGTAGGTTGTTTATCTGGTCTGAGAATCGAATCTCTAGTTATTAACATTTAACAATACTAACCTATTAACCATTGTTTTTATTAAAAAAAAAAAAAATTGAATGGCTACCACCTAGCTGTCCATCTTCAACCTCAATGATTTTCTGTTGCACTCAATATATATATGTATATATATCCGAAAACAAAAAGAAAAGATTATTGTATTAATTTCATTCCAAAAAAGAAAAATGGGTTGTATTCATTTCATTTCGCATTAAATGGATAGTTCATTTTTCTTTTTTTTTTTGAACATTTTGACACGGGCGGGTTCAAAACCCGCCCAGGGGAGGGGAGAATGCACCTAGCAAGCTGGCTAATGCCAATAGGCCTCTAGGCCCGGGTGCGGATAGTTCATTTTTCTTGATGTCCACTAATTAGAAAATTATTAGGAGCAAGACTCATATAAACTTATTTCATAATTATTTTTATCACATTAAGTCATTTTCCTCTTTTCTTTATAAACATTTTTATAATACATATAAAATCTTTGGTTATATATGGTGAAGGATAAATTTTGCTTGGAATTTTTTATTTTACTACATTCATTGGCTCTGTTACTTTTTTATTTTTTATTTTCTTAAGCAAGATTGTTGTGGAGTGAACCTGACATGGTGATTCTAATTTGAGAAGCTCCCAATTAAAAAATAAAATTTTTATTTTGTGCCCTAAAAGTGTATTTATTGTATTCTATTATTATTAATATATATAATAAAATTCAAAGTTAATATTAATTTTATTAATTGTTCAATAAAAAACATTCATGTGTCTAAGATATTAAAATTAATAATAATTTTTTTGTTTTTTATATAAATTAATACATGAAAAATACATTTAAAACTCTAAATGTACATGTTAGACAAATTCATTAAAAAATACTTAGAATCTGTGATTTAGCTCCATGGAAGGAATTACAGCTGGCATTATTTTCCAACTCACCTCCTGCAAAAGTGCAAATACTTGAGCTGGTCATTTCCAAACCTGCTCATTCTTGCTTTGTGTAAACAAAAACGCAGATATCAGAGGTTCAGGTACTCAACTTTGGTTGAAAATGGCGAAGGGGGGATCATCAGCTTCAGCAGCAGCGTTGATTCTGAATATCATCAACTCTGTCTTCACCGCTTGTGGCATAGCCATATCCTTGTATGCACTCTACTGTTCGGTAGGTTTGAAATCCGAAGTTCCACAGCAACCATTACATCTCCACAATTCCTTAAATCAGCTGTTGCTTGCGCCTGATGCCTCCATCCAATTATCCCGTAAGCCTCCTACAGCCTGGTAAGTATACCTGTATCTGTCATGCTTCCAATTAACTTCTCCAATTTCCATTCCGTGGGATATATGTTGTCCTGTTAGAGTAAGAATATATACTATTTGATTGATTTTTTTTTGCAGGTTTATTTATTTTCTACTCACTGTTGCTGCGACCCTGTTCGTGATATCCTTTTTCGGATATATTGGATCTGTAATGAGGAACCCCCGCTGTCTGGGCTTTGTATCCAACAACTTAACTCAATTTCAGTACTTTTATCTTACCTGATTTCGTGTTTTGATTTATATTTTTCCTTAATTAAGTGGGTTTGATCAGTACTCAGTGTTGTTGGTGACACTCTTTTTGGCACAATTAGGAGCAGTTGCTTCCATGTTCTTACAACCCATATGGGACAAGGTTGCGGATCTTAGCTGACTCAATCTCACATTACAATTCTTAACAGCTTATAATCTAGAACTCAAGTTTACATTTGACAGGATTTGTCCAAAGACAGGAGTAGCAATCTGCAATCTACTTCTTATTTCCTTAAGGTCAACTGGAAAATAATTAGATGGCTTATTCTAGCTGTACCTATTTTGGAGGTAATGTTACATCATTATATTCATTCATGTATTGTTTCAGAGAATTTACGAAAAAGAAAAGAAAGTTGTTTGAAGAATTATGCATATATGTTGATTGTATACAACCTCTGCTTCTCAGGTGATTGCTTTCGTGCTAGCCTTGTACCTGCGATCTGTGAACAAAGATCCGCAGGGAATTGTTGAATACCAGAAGATTGTTTTCCATGATGATCATATAGCTGTGCCTGTGAAGAGAAACATGTCATCTACTACCGAACCTTCAACTGGTGGGAAAGAACAAGAGCAACTTAAACAATGGTTGAGCCCTTTACTGGGGGCAAAGAACAACAGAAACACCAGACATAACTAGGCATATATGCGGGTAGCAG